AATAAAACAAATACAGTACAAAGTTAGTATTGGGTAACCCGAGTGGAGTGAACATACGAAGTCTTTGTATTATTCTTTTTTTTTTTTTTGAGTTGGAGTCTCGCTCTGTTGCCCAGAAGTGCAGTGGCATACTCCTGGCCACCGCAGCCTCAACCTGCTGGGCTCAGGTGATCCTTCCACTAAGCCTTCCAAGTAACTGGAACCACAGGTGTGTACCACCACACCTGGCTATTGCCTGGGCCTCTTAAAATGCTGGGATTACAGGTGTTAGCTATCGCGCCCAGCCCTGCAAATTTATGTAAGTCTGAAAATATATCAACGTTTTAAAAAGCATAAAAAGGGCCAGGCTCGGTCGCTCAGCCTGTAATCCCAGCGCTTTGGGAGTTCGAGGTAAGTGGATTGCCTGAGCCCACAGGTTCAAGACCCATCCGGGCAGCTTGGCGAGACATCGCCTCTACAATAAATCAAAAACCAGCCGGGCGTGGTAGTGCGTGCCTGTAGTTCTGGCTACTTAGAAGGCTGAGGTGGAAGGATCACTGGAGCCCAGCAGGTTGACACTGGGTGGCCGTGAATGTGCCACTGCATCCAGCCTGGGCAACGGAGTGATACTCCAACTGAAGAAAAAAAAAAAATTCCTGAGGGAAAAAAGCTAGAGAACAAAAAGGACACAGCATGGTAGAGTTGAAATGGGCTGGGAACTGGGAGACTTAGCTCTAGTCAGCTCAGTGATTTTGAATAAGTTATTTCACCTCTGATTCTTAGTTGGTCCAAATATGAAACAAAGGGTTTGAACTTGTTGATTTTTTTTGAATAAGACACTTACTCTGTTTCCCAGACTGGAGTGCACTGGCATGATCATGGCTCACCACAGCCTTGTACTCCTGGGCTGAAGGGGTCCTCCTACTTTAGCTTCCTGAGTAGCAGGGACTACAGGTGTGTACCACGATGCCCAGCTAGTTTTTAGTTTTTTTGTAGGGATGAGGTCTCACTATGTTGCCCAAGCTGGTCTCGTACCGGTCCTGGGTACAAGCAGTCCTCCCGCTTTGGCCTTTCAAAGTGCTGGGATTATAGACATAAGCCACCATATCTGGCTGAACTCATTGATTTTAAAGAGATTGTCTAACTCAGAACTGTAGGGCTGTAATTAAAAGTACAGATGTGGCCGGGCTCGGTGGCTCAGGCTGTAATCCCGCGCTTTGGGAGGCCGAGGTGAGTGGATTGCCTGAGCCCGTGGGTTCGAGACCTGCCTGGGCAACTTGGTGAGACTGCATCTCTACAATAAATCAAAAAAATTAGCCAGGCATGGTAGTGTGCATCTGTAGTTCTGGCTACTTGGAATGCTGAGATGGAAGGATCGCCGGAGCCCAGCAAGTCAAGGCTGCAGTGGCCGGAAGTGGCCACTGCATTCCAATCAGGGTGACAGAGTGAGACTCGAACTCAAAAAAAAAAAAAGAAAATATCATTAAGGCCGGGCATGGTGGCTCAAACCTGTAATCCCAACACTGTGGGAGGCCCAGGCGAGAAGATTGCCTGAGGTCAGGAGTTTGAGACCAACCTGGGTGACAATCTACAATAAATCAAAAAATCAGCCGGGCATGGTAGCATGTGCCTGTAGTTCCAGCTACTTGGAAGGCTGAGGCAGAAGAATCTCCTGAGTCCAGCAAGTTGAGGCTGCTGTGGCTGTAAGCAGTCACCAGACTGGGTGACAGAGTGAGACTCCTACTAAAAATAAATCATTAAGTTGAAAATGCATTTAATTTTCAAGTGAAAAGTGATTTAGTGAAGAAGTAAAAATGAGTAAAAACCTACTGCACATCATAGCTTAACCTAGCCCACTTTAAATGTGCTCAGGACACTTATATTAGCCTACAGTTGGGCCAAGTCATGGGGCCACAGTCCCCTGGAGCGTTTCAGTTGTTTGCCCCTGTGGCTATGTGGCTAACTATGAGCTGCGGCTTGCTGGTGCCGCCCAGTACTGCATATGGCTAGCCCGGGAAAAAAATCACAATTCAGAATTCAAAATATGGTTTCCACTGAATGCGTATCACTTTTGCACCATCCTAAAGTTGAAAAGTCGAACCATCCTAAATTGGGACCATCTGGAGTCCACTTTTTTTCCCCCAAAGTAAAAGGCATGCAGCATGCAGATCTACCCTTTCACCACCAGGTGGCGTCAGTTAACCTTGGTGCATGTATAAAGCTCTTTTTTTTTTTTTTTTTTTGAGTTGGAATCTCACTCTGTCGCCCAGACTGGAATGCAGTGGCCGCTTCCGGCCACCGCAGCCTCGACTTGCTGGGCTACAGCGATCCTTCCGCCTCAGCCTTCCAAGTAGCTGGAACTACAGGTGTGCGCTACCATGCCCGACTAATTTTTTGATTTATTGTAGAGATGAGGTCTCGCCAAGTTGCCCGGGTGGGTCTCGAACCCACGGGCTCGGGCAATCCACTCACCTCAGCCTCTCAAAGGCGTGGGATTACAGGCTGAGCCACCGAGCCTGGCTAGCTCCGTACATTTTACTACTCCAGGCAGGGCCTCAGCATCACCAACCTTTATTCTTAGCTCCATCTCTTATTGCTTCTGATGACTCTTAACCACAACTGTTTTTTGCTTCTTGCCTTCCTACTGTGTATTTGTTTTTGTTTTTGGTGGGGGTGGGTACTGGATAAGACAGTTATTGCTAAAAATAATCTAGAGGTAGATCTGGCCTTTGCCAAAAGTGGACCATTATAGGACTGTCACCTCTCAGAGGAGTCTGGGAGGGAGAGGTTTGTTGATGCTCAACAGAGTGGCGCTCAGGCTTAGATAGTCTTGCCATCATGGGCGAAGAACATCAGTCATCTCTTGTGGTTTGGAGCATAGGGTGGAAGATGTCCCAATGTGCTTCATCCTAGTGACCTGGAGTTTCCATGCTGGTATTATATGTCCACGAGGGTGCTTATCTAGCTTGTGGGGTAATAGCTGCTCAGCTGTGTGTTCCTTGAGGCTTCAGCTTGCTGGTGCCAAGTGAACATGAGAAATGCTGCCCATGAAATACTTCATCAGAAGACGAAGTGCAGATGGCTAACAAGCACATGGAAAAAAGATTCACTGGTGGTTGAAGAATGACAATAGAACAAATCAGTTAGGTCCTGTCATGACATGTAGCATGGTGTGGCATGCACATTCTGGCTTGGAGCTCCCTGATGATGTAGCCTGGGGCAACGTCCTTCCTCCTCAGGCCTCTTTCCTCCTGGGTAAAACTAGGTGATGATATAGTCCTGACTCATGGCCTTGTTGTGAGTTCTGGGTTAGATAATATGTGCATGGCATAGTGTCCATAATCAGCACTCAGCACATCTTAGCCATTGTCTTTGTATGGTATGTATTTTTACCTGTATGATTTGCAGAAAGTGAAAGAACTTAGTCCTCAGTGCTCTGTGGTGTTTGGTGAAATGGATATACTCCTGTAGCACCAATGGGATCTACATGGGTTTACCTTTTTTGGAAAGGAATTAAGCAGTTTTGTTTTGTTTTTTTTGAGTTGGAGTCTTACTCTGTCGCCCAGACTGGAGTGCAGTGGCATGCTCCTGGCCACCGCAGCCTCTACCTGCCAGGCTCAGGCGATCCTTCCATTTCAGTTTTCCAAGTAGCTGGAACTACAGGCGCGTGCTATCACACCCAGCTAATTTTTTGATTTATTGTACATGCGAGGTCTTACCATGTTGCCCAGGCTGGTCTCTAACCCATGGGCTCCGGCTGTCCTCTTGCCTTGGCCTCCCAAAGTGCTGGGATTATAGACTTGGGCCACTGTGTCTGGCCAAGCAGTTTTTTTTTTTTTTTTTCAGTTGGAGTCTCATTCTATTGCCCAGGTTGGAGTGCAGTGGCACAATCATGGCCACCACAGCATTGACCTGCTGGGCCAGGCGATCCTTCCTCCTCAGCCTTTCAAGTAGCTGGAACTACAGGGGCGTGCTACCACGCCCAGCTAATTTTTTAATTTACTATAGAAATGAGGTCTCGCCAAGTTGCCCAGGCTGGTCTCGAACCCCTGAGCTCAGGAAATTCTCTTGCCTTGGCCTCTCAAAGTGCTGGGATTACTGGCTTGAGTCACCGTGCCCGGCCCAGGGATTAAGCAGTTATAAGAATTTTAAAAATATTCTTATCCTGGCAAATGGCAGACACTTTCTCTTCTGTCCTGCCCATTGTGCCCTTAACAACTTATCTCTCCTTTAATAAATCTACTTTTCTTTTTTCTTTTTGAGTTGGAGTCTCACTTTGTCGCCCAGACTGGAGTGCAGTGGCCACCACCGCAGCCTCGACCTGCTGGGCTCCGGCGATCCTTCCGCCTCAGCCTTCCAAGTAGCCGGAATTACAGGCATGCGCTACCACGCCCGGCTAGTTTTTTGATTTTATTGTAGAGATGAGGTCTCGCCTGCCCAGGTGGGTCTCAAACCCGCGGGCTCAGGCAATTCACTCACCTCAGCCTCCCAAAGGCGCGGGATTACAGGCTGAGCCACCGAGCCCGGCTATCTACTTTTCTTAATTAAAAAAAAAAGTTCATATCCTTTGGAGGAGTACTCAGAAATGCACACAAATGTATATATTTGTGGTAATTTTTCCAGAACAAAAAATCACAAGCAGTCTATTCAACAATGAAAAGATATTTAACATACCCACATACCCACCTATGGGCTTATATAGTCATATAAGATCAATTTTGGGAGGTACAAGAATTTTTAAGAGTTGGGGAAATAAAAGATGAAATCTACAAGAAGATTTGCCAGTGAAAAGTTGGGAATGATAACTAATGGTAATTATCCCAGTGGTTTCAGTTTAGGGGTGATTTTTTTCTTATACTTCATATTTTAAAATATACTCTAATTTCTTTGGAAGTTTTTGGAATCAGGACAAAACTCTTGGGTTGCTTTTTAAAAAAGAAGCAACCCAAGAGTATCTGCCACAGGGGGGCATCTGGGAGCCCTCTGACTCATCTATGACTTTTTCTTTCTTTCTCGCCCAGTGGTGTCAGCAAAGCCCAAGGTGCATAATCGTCAACCTCGAATTAACTCCTACGTGGAGGTGGCGGTGGATGGACTCCCCAGTGAGACCAAGAAGACCGGGAAGCGCATTGGGAGCTCTGAACTTCTCTGGAATGAGATCATCATTCTGTAAGAGAGAGCCCCTTCTTTTGGAATGCAATAAGATGGGGAGACAGAGGGGGGCTCCAAGGGGGTTATGGGGGCTCTGGGCTTCCTGTGGAGCCTCAGTTTCTTCTGCCCGTGGTCCCAAGACACCTTTCTTGAGGTGTTTCTACCTCATTGAGCTCACAGTGTTCATTATTAGCTAGAGGGTTACAGGGTCAGCTTTGTGGGGGGAAGGGTTATGTGGGCGTCTTCCTGTTATGTGGGTTACCCCCTCCCCGAGATGTCAGTAGTCTAGGTGAACTGTGTTCCTCTAAGTTGTTGGAATGGCTGATCTGCTGAACCAAGTATTTGTTTTCTAGGAATGTCACGGCCCAGAGTCATTTAGATTTGAAGGTCTGGAGCTGCCATACCTTGAGGAATGAACTGCTAGGCACCGCCTCTGTCAACCTCTCCAACGTCCTGAAGAACAATGGGGGCAAAAGTACGTATGGTGGGGGGAAGGGTTAGATGATTCATCGGTGGAGGAGAGGTGGGAGGACTTGGCACATAAACCTGTGAAGCAGTTTCCTCTAGGACCGGGGCTACGGTGGCCCTGTTCCTTTCGGAAGCTGTCCATGCAGTCTTAGGAAGGCTGAGATCTTCTCTCTGCCTCCACTGCGGAGTTCAGCCCGCGATGTCCAGGGCCTCTAGTAGTGGGACACACTGCTGTGTCCCCTTGACCCTTTCTTGGACTGGAAACTTTCCTGTGCCTCTGTGCCTCCTCCCAATGCAGGAGATGTGTGATATATTGAATTAAACTGTTAAATGCCTTCAACCTAAACCATTGCTTTTCTCATCTGAGCCCTAGAACAGAACAAAGGAGCTGTGTGTGTGTGTGTGTGTGTGTGTGTGTGTGAGACTTTTAGGGATTGTGTTTCATAGTGCCCTGTGCTTACTAGGCGCTCAGTAAACATTTGCTGGATGTTGGAATGCGATGGAAGCTGGGTCGTAATCACCCAGGGTGCCTCTACTGCCTGGACATATAAACCCTCACATCTATTTATTGCTGTTTGTGGTCAGTGGCATAACTCGTGGCTGTGGTATTTGGACCCTCCCTCATAAAGCCTCTATTCAGAGCAGTACCATATGTGGCGGATGAATGGCACAGAAAGAAAGCCTCCTTTTTCTCTTGATGTCTGCCGTCTAGAAAATATTTTCTGAAAGTGGATTTAGCTTAAGACAGATGTGGGGGCAGGGAGTGTCACGGAGAATGCCACATTGATGTAAGAGTCTTTTCCTTCTGAGCCTGTCCTTCCATGCAATGGGCCACTTGCGAGGTGTGTGAGCCTCCTCTGGTCATTTCCTTTCTACTAGGCACACAGAGATGTGCCCAACCCACTCTGGACTGAAGCACTGTTTAAAATCAGAGATATGCCTCTATTTTAATTCTGCAGGGAACTCCCTGGTGCTTTGTCTTCTGAGTTGGTCTTTATTTTCCCAAACCCAAACCCCAAATCAATTTCCTTTATTTAATTTGATTATCAAGGAGAATTATATTTATGATGTTATCTGAAAATATACTTGTGGAGATTCTCACATTAGGATGCAACAACTAGCATGATTTTTTTTTTTAAATTTTACCTTCTTCATTCATCCAGTCAATATACTTTTGCTTTTGATTACTCAAAGTCATTGTAGACTGGGTATGATGGCTCATGCTTGTCATCTCACACTTTGGGAGGCTGAGCCCAGGAATCTGAGACCAGCCTGGACAACATGGCAAGACCTCATCTCTACAATAAATAAAAAAATAAAAAAACCAGGCATGATGGCGCTTGCTTGTAGTTCCAGCCATGTGGAAAGCTGAGGCAGAAGGTTCACCTGAGCCCAGCAGGTTGAGGCTGCAGTAGCTGTGATCATGCCACTGCACTCCAGCCTGGGTAACAGAGTGAGACTGACTCAAAAAAAAAAAAAGTCATCATGGACGTTGGAGATTATAGAAAAGCACACAAAAACAAAGAAAACAAAATTATTAATTGCTGATTATTATTAGCACCTAATAATTATTGTTAATGTTTACATTTTTACTTTAATTAATTGTTTAATTAATTTTAAAGATGAGGTCAGGATCTCACACTGTTGTACAGGCTGGAGTACAGTGGCTATTCACAAGTGCAGTTATGAATCTCTGGAACCTCAAATTCCTCACCTCAGCCTCCCAAGTAGCTGGGACTATAGGCACGTGCCAGTGTGCTAGGCTATTGTTAACATTTTGATGTATACTCTTAAGCTTTTCTTCCTGTGTATAGACATAGATTGATATTTATAATATGATGACATAAAATTAAGATCATATATGAACATGTTATTCTGTAGCATGCTTCTTTCTCTTTAAAATGTGTCAATATATCTTTATTTATTTTTAGTTGTGATAAAATACACATAACATCAAATTTATCATCTTAGAGTCAGGTATGGTGGCTCATGCCTGTATTTCCTGCACTTTGGAAGGCCAAGGCAAGAGTATTGCTTGAGCGCAGGGGTTGGAGACCAGTCTGGGGAAACTGATGAGATCTCGTCTCTACACCAGATCCAAAAATTAGCTGGACGTGTTGGTGCGCGCCAGTATTTCTAGCTACTTGGAAAGCTGAGGCAGAAGGAGTGCCTGAGCCCAGCAGGTCAAGGCTGAGGTAGCTGTGATTGTATCACTGTACTCCAGCCTGGGCGACAGAGTGAGACTCTGACATGAAAAAAAATTATCGTCTTAACCATACTTTCTGTCTCTATGAATGTGACTACCTCAGGTGCTTTATTTAAGTGAAATCATACAGGATTTGTCTTTTTGTGACAAGCTTATTTCACTCAGCATTATGTCCTCAAGGCATATTCATGTTGTAATGTGTCAGAATTTCCTTACTTTTTTTTTTTTTAACCAAAAACATCTTTATTTTAGTCTTCAAAGAAGAATTCTTCTTCTTTTTCCAAGATAATCATGATTAATTTACAAAAATGGGTATATATTTTCAAAGCATTTCCCTTTAATGGGAAATTTAGCTTTATAGGATCAAAATATTAAAAAGGTAAAACAAACAAACAAAAACCTTCCATGACGCTGCCATTATAAGACGAAACAGACTCTAGCATAAGTCAGGGAAACCTATTCACACTTCAGGTCCTTCTTCTCCAGGAATCAGCATTGTTATATTATTTCCATTCAGCAAAATCTGATCTAATTTAGTAATCCTTCTTCCTTCGGGTGTGATTTCAAACTCAGTGACATCTTCCAGTACCATATTGACAAAGTCATCAAATCCTAGAAGAGTACCAACAATTTCCTTATCACTCTTTATCACGATGTGAATTCTTGATCCCATACATTTGTCTATAAGCTCTAGCGGCAGCAGCTGCGACGGGTTGGTAGTAGCGTTAGCCGCCTTGGCTACGCTGGAAGTGGCCTGTGTCCATCGACCACCCGACGGCCAGTTTCCTTACTTTTTAAGGTTGACTGATATTCCACTGTATGAATACCCCATATATACTGACACTTGGGTTGTTTCTACCATTTGACCATTGGGAATAATGCTGCTATGGACATGAGTATACAGATAACTCTTCGAGTCCCTTCTTTTAGTTCTTTTGGGTATATACCCAAAAGTGGGATCGTTGGATAGTATGGTAATTCTGTTTTTATTTATTTATTTAAAGGTAGGGTCTTGCTGTCTTGCCCAAGATGAAGTGTAGTGGCTATTCTCAGGCGCACGCAATCGTAGCACACTGTAGGCTCACACTCCCGGGCTCAAGCAATCCTTTTGCCTCAGCTTCCTAAGCAGCTGGTACTATAGGCTTGCAGCACTGTGCCTGGTTTCTCTTTTTAATTTTTTGAGGAACTACTATACTGTTTTTTTATAGCTCTTGTGCCATAAAATGTAACAATAAAGCTTTTAGAATTTTAAAGTCATAAATAATGCTATGATAGACTTACAAGTTTATAGACGTTTGTGCTCATCGCTGAAAATTTACTTGGGATACATTTTTGCACACAGCCTTGCCAGGTTTAAACATTTTTCATGGGTTTTGACACATGTTGCCAGATTACCCTTCAGAAAGTTCTATAGGTTGAGCTTTCCTAGTCCGAAAATCCAAAATCTGAAGCTTGTTAAGCACTGATATTATGCTACAAGTGGAAAATTCCACACCTGACACCTTTGCTTTCTGATGGCTCAATGTGCACAAACTTTGTTTCATGGACAAAATTATTAAAAATATTATATAAGATTACCTTCAAGCTATGTGTATAAGGTGTACATGAAACATAAATGAATTTTGTGTAACTAAATTACTCCCAAGGTAACTAATTATTTATATACAAATATTTAAAAATCTGAACTCAGAAACATTTCTGGTCCCCAGACTTTTAAATAAATGGGACATTACAGAACCTGTACCAATTTGCCCTCTCATCAGCAAATAGTGACTGAAATTGCTGGGTTATGTTGTGCCTTGGCATATATTGGATATTATTTGTAAAGAATTCTTTTTTTCCCCGCCTACTTGATAATTATTAACTTTATGCCAATTTGCTTCACTGCTTTTTTTTTTTTTGTTGAAGTATTTTTAATTTTAAAAATTTTGTTCCATACTTCTGGCTTCTCTATATGGCTGAAGTATTTTATTTATTTTTTAAAAATTTCTTTTGGCTGAAGTATTTTGAAGTAAATTGTAGATGTCCTGACATTTTATCCTAGATTCTTCAGCATGCATCTTATTAAAATAGGACATTTTCTTTATTTTATCTCATTTTAAGTTATTTTGCTTTTTTAAAACTTTGGAATATTTGCATAAAATATCCAGGATATTTTCTTACACAATTACTATGCTGTTATCACATTTATAAATATTGGCATGAATTTCTTCTTATATCGAATACCTAGTTCATAGTCAGTTTCACTGTCTCAAACATGTCATTTTACAGCTGGTTTGCCTGAACTTGGATTTGGAAAGCTCCACACCTTGCATTTGGTTGTTATGTCTCTGAGACTTCCCACATTTCCACCTCATTTTGTTTTGTTTTGTTTTTGAGTCGGTGTCTCACTCTGCTGCCCAGGCTAGAATGCAGTGGCATGATTATGGCTCACCACAGCCCTGACCTCCTGGACCCAGGAGATCCTTCTTTCTCAGTCTCCTGAGTAGCTGGGACTGTAGGTACATGACACTATGCCTGGCTAATTTTTTTTACTTTTTGGAGGGAAAAGGTCTTGCTATATTGCCTAGGCTGATATCCCGCTTTTTAAAGCTGTGATTTGGTGAAGTATACTGAATGATTTTAAAATGTGTTTATTGCCCTATTAATATCCCTTGCTCGTTTTTTTTTTTTTTTTTTTGAGTTGGATTCTCACTCTGTCGCCCAGACTGGAGTGCAGTGGCCGCTCCTGGCCACCGCAGCCTTGACCAGCTGGGCTCTGGCGATCCTTCCGCCTCAGCCTTCCAAGTAGCTGGAACTACAGGCGCGCACTACTATGCCCAGCTAATTTTTTTTGATTTATTGTAGAGATGAAGTCTCGCCAAGTTGCCCAGGCGGGTCTCGAACCCGCGGGCTCAGGCAATTCACTCACCTCAGCCTCCCAAGGCGTGGGATTACAGGCTGAGCCACCGAGCCCAGCTCTCTTGCTCATTTTTATATTATAGTGGGTATTTTTCTGTTTTGTTTTCTTTTTTTGAGTTGGAGTCTCACTCTGTCGCCCAGACTGCAGTGCAGTGGCTGTTCCCGGCCACCTCGACCTGCTGGGCTCCGGCGATCCTTCCGCCTCAACCTTCCAAGTAGCTGGAACTACAGGTGCGCGCTATCACACCCAGCTAATTTTTTGATTTATTGTAGAGATAAGATCTCACCATGTTGCCCAGATGGGTCTCGAAACCGCGGGCTCAGGCAATCCACTCATCTCAACCTCCCAAGGCACGGGATTACAGGCTGAGCCACTGAGCCCGGCTCTGTTTTGGTTTTGAAAGCGCTATTTATATGTCTTCTTTGTCTTATATTTTGTAAATGTTTTTGTAGTTTCTCATTTGCATTTTAACTTTGAAGGGTTTTTTTTCTTTTTTCAAACAGATATTTTAAACTTAATTTTTATTTCTTTGAGTTGGGAGTCTCTCTCTGTTACCCAGGCATGCAGTGGCATGATGATAGCTCATTGTAACCTTGATCTCCTGGGCTCAAGCCGTCCTTCTGCCTCAGCCTCCTAAGTAGCTGGGACTACAGGATGTGCCACCATGCCCAGCTAATTTTTTAATTTTTTTTTTGTAGAGTGGAGTCTTGCTGTGTTGCCTAGGCTGGTCTCGAACTCCTGGGCTCAAGCGATCCTCCCACCTTGGCCTCCCAAAGTACTGGGATTGCAGGCATGAGTCACCATGCCAAGTCCCAGATGTTTTAAACTTTTTATAGTCTAATCTATCACCCTTTATGTTTCTAGCATTTTCATTATGCTTGGAAGGGCATTCTCCATTCTGAGATCAGGCAAATAGTCACCTCTGTTTTTTCCTAGTTTTTTTGTGATTTTCTTTTTTATCATTTAATTGTTCATCCAAATAAATTTATCTTTGTATACAGTAGGGATCTAATTTATTTTCTTCCCTGGTATTTTACTGATTACTTTAGCACTGCTTATTGAATAAGCCATCTATTTCCCCAATGTCTTGAGTTGCTACCTTCAGCATATATTAAAAGCATATGTATACCTGGGTCTGTTTGGACTTTCCATTCTATCCATTTTTTTGTTGACCTTTTCACAAGTTTCTCTTTTTTTCAAAATCTTTTTGCCTCTTTTCTTTGCATATATAATATCATCAAATGGACTTTGCATTATTTTGTCATGTTCTCCTCTCTTCATACTCTCTCTGCTGTCTTCCCCACCTCAAGTCTCTTGAGATTTTCTTGAATCCTGTCATGTGTAAAGTTCATTTAATGGAGAGTTTCCATACTGAGTCTCCCTACCCAAGAGCACGAACTGCCATTTCTTTTCTTTTCTTTTCTTTTCTTTTCTTTCCATCTCCAACACTGGGGGATCATAACTGTCTCTAAATTCATTCAGATAATTCTAAAGTCATCTTTAGATAGATTCTATTTTAAAATGTTTTCAAAGTTTTGATATGATTTTCAGTGGTATCTTTTCCTATTCTGCCTTCAAACAGTATTGTTGAAAGATGTCTATTTCTGCATTTTCTTTGAGTAGGAGTCTCATTCTGTTGCCTGGGCTGGAGTACAGTGGCACCCTCACGGCCAGTATAGCCTTGACCTGCTGGGCTCAGGTGATCCTTCCGCCTCAGCCTTCCAGGTAACTGGAACCACAGGTTCGCACCACCATGCCCAACTAATTTTTTAATTTATTGTAGAGACGAGGTCTTGCCAAGTTGCCTAGGCTGGTCTCGAGCCTGAGGACTCAGGCAGTCCTCTTGCCTTTGCCTCCCAAGGTGCTTGGGTTACAGGCGTGAGCCATCGTGCCTGGCAGTTTCTGTGGGATCTTTTCTTCTGTAATCTGTTGGTTTACCGAATTCTTTTTTTTGGGTTGAAGTCTCACTCTGTCTCCCAGACTGGAGTGCAGTGGCCGCTCCTGGCCACTGCAGCCTCGACCTGCTGGGCTCCGGCGATCCTTCCGCCTCAGCCTTCCAAGTAGCGGGAATTACAGGCATGCGCTACCACGCCCGGCTGATTTTTTGATTTATTGTAGAGATGAGGTCTTGCTGCCCAGACGGGTCTCGAACCTGCGGGCTCAGGCAATCCACTCACCTCAGCCTCCCAGAGGCGCGGGATTACAGGCTGAGCCACTGAGCCCGGCCTGAGTTTTGATTTATTGTAGAGATAAGGTCTTGCCAAGTTGCCCAGGCGGATCTCGAACCCGCGGGATTACAGGCTGAGCCACCGAGCCCGGTTGGTTTACTGAATTCTTTAGTACAGGTTTTCTGTAGTTTCTTTAGAGTTCTCTTAGTAGACATTTATATGAGTCTTAACACTGATAATTTTGCTCACCTTAAGAATAATTATACTTTTTTTTTTGTTAGTTGCTTTGTATAAAACTTTGTGATGAAGCAATGCCTCTAGTAACTCACTTCTGGGTATAAGGTTAGGTGTTACCTGTCTTTTTGCTTTATTAATTGTTGCTGGTTTAAAAAAAAATCAGAAAGGGTATTGACTTTTTGTCAAATATCTGTTAAGCAGCCATTGTAATGATTATATGATTTTTCTTCTTCAATTTATTATATTAATTTCCGGATAGTAGCAATGTTAGACTTTCTGGCAGATATCGAATTGCTCAATATAGATTCTTTCTTGGAAATGTTGTTAGAATTGTTTGTTTGTATCTTATATGGAAGTTTTCTATCTAGATTCATTAGTGAGATTTGTCTCTAGTTTTGCTCTATTTTTGTCAGCTCTGGAATCAAGGCCAAGCTAATTTTCTAAAGTAAGTTGA